GCTGATAAGTGTCCTTTACTTTAAGCACTTACATGTGCTTAAAACAGATGTTTATTTTGGGAGCCTCTAGAAAATATCATTTGCAAATGCCTATGTATGGCTTTCTTTAAATAGTATTAGTTAGGTATCTGAAGTCCAGAACTGGTTTTTGTCTATATTGATGGAAATGTCCTGGATGAGGGAATGGAGTACACCCTTAGTAAGTTTGCAGATGACACTAAACTGGGAGGAGGTGTCGATCTGCTGGAAGACAGAGAGGCTCTTCAGAGAGATTTGGACAGGCTGGATTGCTGGACCAAGGCCAATTGCGTGAAATTTAATAAGGCCAAATGCTGGGTCCTGCACTTTGGCCACAACAACCCCCAGCAGTGCTACAGGCTTCGGGAGGAGTGGCTGGAGAGCTGCCAGGCAGAGAGGGACCTGGAGGTGTTGATGGACAGCAGCTGAACATGAGCCAGCAGTGTGCCCAGGTGGCCAAGAAGGCCAATGGCATCCTGGCTTGTATTAGGAATAGTGTGGCTAGTAGGACCAGGGAAGTGATTGTGCCCCTGTTCTTGGCACTGGTGAGGCAGCACTTCAAGCGCTGTGTGGAGCTCTGGGCTCCATAGTACAGGAAGAACACCGAGGGGCTGGAGAAGGTACAGAGAAGGGCAACCAGAATGATTAGGGAAATAGAGGGTGAGTCTTACGAAGAGAGGCTTAGGGAGCTGGGGCTGTTCAGCCTGGAGAAGAGGAGGCTGAGGGGAGACCTTATCGCTCTCTACAACTCCCTGAAAGGCAGTGAGACGGGTGTTGGCATCTTCTCCCTAGTGAATAGCGACAGGACAAGAGGGAACGGATTCAAGTTGCACCAGGGGAAGTTTAGATGGGATATTAGGAAAAGGTTCTTCACCAAAAGGGTGATGAGGCACTGGAATGGGTTGCCGAGGGAGATGGTGGAGTCACTATCCCTGGACGTGTTTAAGAAACGGTTGGAGGTGGCACTTCAGGAGATGGTTTGGTGTTAGGGTGGTGTAGGGCTGTAGGTTGGACTTGATGATATTAAAGGTCCTTTCCAACCTTGATGTTTCTGTGTCGTACTAATTCTACATCCTTTTTGCTGATTCTTTGTCTCATGTTTCACCACTCTAATAACAGTTTCTTGACATCCTTTGGGAGTTGTTTTCCTTGCTGCATGTTTCTGCTCTCACCAGCTAGCCCCTGTGATAGTGAAGCTGGCAGTTCCAAGGTTTAGGAGGAGAGGGTTGGGTATAAATGAAGTTTTTAGCCCAGACATGTTTGCCCTTGATGCTCCCACACATTTGCTATGTACATTTTGAACAGAATGGTATACTGGCTCAGCCACCTGATACGGTTTGAAGAAGTATCTGCTTTTGCAAAAAGCAGATAGTGCTAAGTTTCTTTTTTGGAGTGTAGACTTGTACCACTGTGACTGGTGGAATAATTCAGTGTTACCTGATGGAAAAGCAAGATAGGAAAGCATTTAAAGCCTTATGACAGATGAGTATGATGCCTTTTAATACCCATTCTCCTAGATGTAGCACACTTCAGAAATTCTCAGGTATTGATAAATCACAGTTCCAGCTGTCTCTAACTGCAACATACTCTTTGTCTGAAGATAAGCTGATAACTCTGACTCTGTTTTAAAATGTATCTTGTGGTTTGTCTTGAATGTGTCTTACAGTTTGTGTTGAATGGCTTTATCTTGGCCACTTTCTAAAACCTGTGAAACTGCAGTAATGGTACACGTTGTTATAAGTTCAAGTTTTTATTTATCAATACTTCCCCACAAGTTTTGATATGTGTTTGCTTTGAAATTTAAGCATGGACTTTTTTAATTTTTTTTTTTTTTTGCTTGGAGCGTGTCAGTAAATAAACAAACCTTGGCAAAAGCTGCAAATGCTATTTGTAGAGTAACTAATTTTATACCTTGCTGCTGAGATCTTCAACTAGGCTTTATACATGTCTTTTTCTCCTTTGTAGGAGTTTACATCCTAATTGGAGCTGGTGCACTTATGATGCTGGTTGGTTTCTTGGGATGCTGTGGGGCATTGCAGGAATCTCAATGTATGCTTGGCCTGGTAAGTGTTCAGGGTAGTATTTAATTTTTTAGCAGCATGATGAGAAAGGAAGGGAAATATTACTGTGCAGTTAAAAGAGCGGCAAAAGCTGATTGTTTTGGCTACACAACACTTAAATTCGTGGTCACCTACGTAATGCTAAAATGTTAAGTATAGCTTCCATTTCTCACCCTAAATCCAAATGTTCATGTTGTGTTTGAGTACAAGATGACTTCAGGAGTTAGTGACTCCTTGTAGTACCAAGACTGGGAGCATATGTGAACACAAAATTAAAATGTTGATAAGAGTAATGCTATTACTCTAATGCTATTACTGTGCCAACAGTTTGCACAGCCTTAAGAGCTCAGGACAATCTTTAATCTTTGAGACCAGAACTGTGGTATTTGATCCTCGAAACAACAAGCCTTTACTGTCTGTAATCACAGGATGAGCTTTTCTAGTTGACAACAGCTCTGCAAGCCAATTACTGGAGAGCAACCTCATTGTTTTCAGGCTGGAGGGGCCAGTAGAGCTTGCTGGGTTGATGCGCATCTGTATGCTTGTGGAACTACTCATCCAAATAACTAGAAGAGTTAGTTAATAAAAGACTACTACTATAGCTGGTGAAAGAACAATCCCCCTTCTCTGTTCTGGAAAAAGTTAATTTTGTAGATTTCTTGTAAAATGGTGCCTCTAGCCTTTGGCCGTAATTCTGAATATCTCTGTAAAGTGCCTTTAAATGGTAGTGGTGTTTTGGACCTGATAGTCAATTAAGCTCAGAGATGACACTTTTTTTATTTCTATTTTATGAATTACACAACAAAAAAGTGACCATTAGCTCTCTGGAAGTTGGTGGCAAGGTAGGTATTAAGTAGTGACTTCTAAAGGAATAGGAGTGACGAAACAGAAGATAATTGCTGTCAGCAGTTGTGATGTCTCTGAGTGACCTGGACAACTTCAAAGTCTGAGTTACAGATGATTGGGTTTAATTAACACTGATCAAAAAGGAGGACTTCAGCTTGGAAAGCACTGCCAGGCTTTCTGATGCTGCTGGGAAGAAGTGCTGACCCAATGCAGTGTGTCCTCTTTCCTAATCTCGTACTAGTGTTTCAGACCTGCAGCTAGAACCTGGCTGAGTGGCGGCTGCGACAAGGCTGGCTGCTGAGGACTGGATGAGTTTGCAGTATATACATGTGATGTCTTTTGTGGTGCTGTGGTCTTAATTATGTGATCTCTCTTTTCTAGTTCTTCCTCTTCCTCTTTGTGATTTTTGCCCTTGAAATTGCTGCTGCAATCTGGGGATTTGCAAATAAAGAAAAGGTAGGTTGCTCTTAAAAGCCTGCAGGCTGGTAGGATGCTGGAACAGGTTGCCCAGAGAAGTTGTGGATGCCTTGGAAATGTTCGAAGTTAGGTTGTCTGGTGTTTTGAGCAACCAGATCTAGTGGAAGATGTCCCTGCCCATGGCAAGGGGATTGACTAGGTGATCTTTAAAGGTCCCTTCCAACCCAAACCAATCAGTACAAGAAATTAAACTCTAATATTAAAAAATGGGACTGTAGCAGAGAAGCCAGAATCTAAAATGCTGCTGCGTGCTAGGCATGCATTCCAGGCAGTACCTGGCTGACCTGTGAAGTGGGCCATCAGTAAAGTTTTACCACTTACATATGAGCTGGGTCAGCTACAGACTGAATGTCCCCTTAGAAGCTGTCAAGATTATGTCTTGTTTCAAAATAAGGTGCTTGGTGATCAGGGTTGCATTTTTCTTTGTAATATACAACAGGAGAATACAGCACCTTCTGGGGTACAGAAATGAACAGAGAATATTTTTGTGTAACCAGTGGGCAAAGACTTTGTTCTCTTGCTCATAGAGGCTCAGAGCTTTGAGGCAAACAAACTTATCTGATTAGACATGGCTTTTAAAGTGAATGTATCAAGCTCAGCTATTCTGGGTGAGAAATGCTGTCCACCCTCTGTTTCCACCCTCTTTTTCTATGTATGTCAATGGATGGCTATTGGAGGTTGTAGAATATTTAATTACTGGCTTAAAACAAGTTTTCCATCATTAATACTAAGGTGAGACAGTAATATACCACAACTGTTTGCTATCCTGTAGGTTATTGAAGAGTTAAAGGACTTCTACAAGGAAACATATGATAAGAGATCTCAGCCAGCTGCCAGAGAGACCCTGAAAGCATTTCAGTTTGCTGTAAGTACCTGGTTATACTTAAATTAGACAATAATGCAGCTTGTAGCTTGTTCATGCTGTTCTGTGTCATCCAGTCCCCTGTGTAAGTCTACCTTACAAATTAGAATAAACCAAAAGAGTATTAGTAACAAGTTGCAGAGAACATCTTTTTATATAGTGTCATTGCATTCAATATGCCTTTTTGGCACTCTGAACCTCTGCAATGTGTAGAACTAGTTCTTGTTCTGCTAAAAAAATCTCAGAAACAAGCTAGGAAACTCTAGATGTGTGGTATTGATTTAGAGGCACCGTAGTGTACATACCTTCACAAAGTCCTATGAAGACTTCGTTTTTGTGTTTGTAGGGCATACAAACTGTCACCAACACTAATGTGCGTTTACTTAATAGGAGCTGGATGTTCCTTTCAGAATCTTTTTCTTTAATGCAGTAAAGCCCTTCTTGAAATCAGGTTTATAACAGTCACATTGGCAGGACTTCTAAGCAAATTTGCACAAAGTCTGTAATAAAACCTGATGTAATCTCTTTCTCCTCTTTACCAAATACAGAGCAAAAATAAAGATTGTGTAACCTGGTTCTCTTTTTTTCTATTTTCTCTTGTAGCTGGACTGCTGTGGTCTTACAGGAGCTATTGAACAACTGTTGATGGACACCTGTCCGAAGAAGACTATGCTTGAAGTGGTTTCTCTAGCGGTAAAGCATGATTTAATTCACCAGTTCTGTCCCATGAATAGAATGAGAAACACATTCCTGAACAAACCTTCTAGTCCATGGGAAACTCCCATGTCACACTTGCTTAGCAACCTATCTCTATAATCAGTCTGGTTGTGGAAAATCAGTGTACTGTTACTGTGGAAGGAACAAGCAGGGTCAGCGGGAAATCTGAACCTGTACAGGAAATGTGCAGTCTGTGTCACCGAACTCACTGGCGTGATAGACAGTGTAAGGCTGAAACTTCAATTAAAAAAAAGGGAAATACACTTTAGAGCTCTGTTCTCATGGCTGCTCCTATTGCCAGAGCACCTTCTTGGTGCTGTGCTTGAGCTGTTGGCTTGGGAGAAGTAGAGCACAGGGTTGGGAGCAGGTCTGAAGTTTTAGCAAGGAAAAGGAGAGGGGGCAACACGTTGGTGGCCTGTTTAGGAAAGTGTGTTGCTGTGAAGCCAATTATCTGAATTGGATTCCTCTGTAAAAATATTGCTGTGAAGGTACCTGTGTGCCACAGATACAGGAGAGGCATCCTGCACAGTTCTTTAACTACCCCTTTTCTTTTTCTTAAAACTGTCTGTGCTTTTGTTTCATGCTCTAAGACAGCCTGTATGAGTCTACCTTTAGCAAATAAGGTTCTTATAATGCAGGAATTCATTTAATGGTCTGACTATTTTTTGATGGTACTTGTTCTGCTGATGGTTTTGTGCCTTCAGATATGTGACCACATCAGACATTTCAACCAGTATTTGGACTGTATGCTCAGTTGTGTCCATACAATCTGGTTTGAGTTAGACTACATGGGAGTAGCTGAGACAGCATGCAAGCTTTATTGTTTGCTTTTATTCTGCTAAGTGTGTTTTAGCTTTATCTGTTGATGTTTTTATGGCCTAGTCCCAGCTGTATAAAAACAGTAGGTAGACTGCAAGATTAAAGGGATGGAATGGTGTGGTTGATCTGTGTGCCTCTAAGAAGAGGTGCTGTACTAATATTCTGATTTTACTGGTTAATTCTTGCCAGTATATCCCTTTCATCCTTGGTTCACTAGGATAAAGAATAACTAAAGAAAAAAAGTAGTTTTCAGCAGCTCACTGTAGTCTGGTGCCAGAGTAAGAAAGACAGCAATTGGTATGAGACTTTGATCAGCTACCGGGCTCTTAAAGTTTTATACATCTGTAAAAATTCCTTGTTCTTTTACTTGGCTGCCATAAGTCTTTAGGGAAGAGACTATACTTTTTCTTTAGTTGCAATGGTGATTCACTGTCCTGGGAATTTCAAACTGGCACCACTCATTGCCTAGCATGTCATGCATTGCCATGCAGTTCAAGAAATTCTGTCGTTCTCATGCACCATGTGTTCATAAAGGTGTCTGCAAAATTACAATAGCAATTGGAAGTACCAAGAGCAGCTTCAAATCTGTTTTGAGAATGGCTGAGCAACTTAAATGCTGATAGCCATTAGTAACAAGCCAAGTCTGGTGCAGCTGCTGTTGGTCCTGATCTACCTGATCAACTGCAGGTGTTGTGAAGGGAAACCTGCCATAGCCCAGGTGCAATTAAGAGGCTGGAGAGTAGATTTAAACTTCATCTTTTGTTGGAACATCCCTATCTCTTAAAGATGTGAAGATGGCAATTCAAAGCAGCTTTCAGAAGATAAGTTTTTATCTCTAGTGCAGGCAGACTTGGTCAGAGGTGTAGCCGAGTCAAACTTCAACAAGCAAGAATAAACAAATCTTTCATATGTAGGAAACTAATGAACAGTGTTTCTTTTCAGTCATGCCCTGCGGCCATTGATGATGTCTTCAATTCAAAACTGAATGTGATTGGAGCGGTTGGCCTTGGCATTGCTGTAATAATGGTGAGTTCTAGATTATTTAAAAGATAGCTGTATGGCCAGAGGATACTTAAAACAGAAGACTGAACAGTGCCTGGCATGGCAGTCTACAAGCCCATTCCACTAATGACATGTCCTGGCAGGATCAGGGTGTGTGCTGTGGGGCCCTGAGGCAGTGCAGAGGGTGGGGTGTCTTGAACCTCCTTGCTTCTGCCTTGGATTAGGATCTACCCCCTTGTAGTTTTAGCAGTGGCAAAGTTGTATCGGTAGTTTAGTGTGTGTGTGTGTGTGTGTGTATATATA